AGCCTCAGCAACTTGGTGAGACCATGTCTCAAAATAAAAAAAAAAAAAAAAAAAAAAGGGAGAGGTATGGAATGTGGCTTAGTGATAGAGTCCCTCTGGGTTCAATCCACAGTACTGGGGGGGGGGGGAAGCAATAAACAAACAAACAAAAACAACAACAAAAACAAAGCCATCCTCTGTGATTCAGTAAAAGAAACTCTTAAAAGAAAAGAAGAAACTCTTGATTTCAGTGAATGCATGCTGGTTCCTAATGTTCATGTTCAAAGTGATGACCAGCCCTTCATTTAAGAATACCATTGAATAACACCTTTAGGATTCTGTTAGAAAACCACATCAGCTATCATATCATTTGAGAAGGAGACCATAACCGTCTTGTCAGTAAGGCAGTGCTAAGGGTAAACCAGAGAGATGGTGAGGCTGGATGCTAAATGGGTGTGACAATCTTTATACACTGAGTTCAATTTTAGATCTGGGGTTTTAAAACAGCACAGAAAACCAAAGTTTAGAGTGAGGGGTCAATTGGACTCAAGACTCAGGCAAGCAAGCCTTTGTCATCTCCAATGGCCAAGGGGCAGAATCTAATGTTTGGCTTAGTAGAAGACAACTGGATTCTTATACCTGCCTCCGCTTAAGGGTAGGGCTGGCACTGCACCCCCAAATTTCTAAAGTCTATCAAAGAACTCTAATCCCTATTTGATGCAGTTGTCCTATAATGCTGCATCTTGAGGCAGAGCCCAAGACAACTGACTCTCTTTTATGCTCAAGGAGCATCCTTAGACTCCATAATAGCATTTTGCAAAATGCAGCCCAGAACCCTTTAGGGGATTAGCAGGGTCAGAACTCTTTTTATACATAGACTAAGACATCATTTTCACTACCCTGTCTCATTTGGGTACAGGGGAATTTCCCTGTGGATCCACACAGTATGATTTTGGAATAGATTCAATGCAGAGGCAGGTATAAGAATCCAGTTGTCTTCTACTAAGCCAAACATTAGATTTGCTAAAATATAAAAAAAAAATGTGGACAATTGTAACTTTTTATGTTATTTATGATAATGTACGTGAGCTTTTGTTAGTTTTGAATGAATTAAATAAATAAAATGTTAGCTTTAATTTCTAATATGATAAATATCAATAGATAAAACTCACATAAACCAAAAAGCTATTTGGGGTCCTCAGTAACTCTTTTTAGAGGGAAAGTAGATCAAAAAGTTGAACAGCTTAGTCTAAGAGGACAAGTCCTAAAATCCATCCCTTACTCTCTGGGGAAAGGCAAGTTGCCTAAAATTCCAAGACCTTTTCCTGCCCTAGAGCATGGGATGTGACCTCAATACCTGGGAGGGTAATTGTGAAGACTAGGTGTAGAGCATTTGTAAAACCCCTCAGCTGGGTGCCCAGCACATGAGTACTCAGTAACTCTTAGCCATTTTTATTATTAATATCACTATTGCTACTATTATAACTATCACTAGGGGACCATTACTCCCTTCTGGCAATGTTATTTCTTGGATATCTAAAACATTCTTTGAATTTGTTAATGCTCTTGGCCCTTCACATTTTCTGTTCCCTCTGCCTGGAATACCTTTCCTTCCTTTTCATTCAGCAAATCCTCTTCGTTCTTTTTGTATCTTGTATCCATTCAGAAGTTCTTTGACTTGGAAACGTTCACTGACTTCTGCAACCTGCAACAGGCATTGTGCTGTAAGCTCTCATCTGTCCCCCACTAAGAGCATAGCTTGGTATAGCTGCTTGTGTCTTTGCCAGCTCTTCCATTGTACTCTGAAAACTCTCTGAGAAAAGGGGCCTCATCTTGTTCACTATTATAATCACCAAGCTCAGTACAATGCCTGATATTCAGAAAGTGCTTGTTGAATATATTTTGCAAAGTCTCCAGTATCTCTTCTTGCCCTCTTACTCCTTTCATGCTCCAGGATACCTAAACAAAATCAGTATCCTAAATATCCTTGTGATACCTTTGATCCTTTAAAAACTAAGTTGCAACAATAACTTAGGCTTCATTTGTGATTTTAAGGCAATGACTACTTATCTTAAAGAATGATGGTTGTACGCCTTAATTTACCAGGGAATCTCAGTTGCACAGGGAGTAAAGCACTCATCTTTGTATATAAGTTAGTTAAGTCTTAGTTATGATCCAGACATAGATTATTTGTGATCTGAGATGAAGAACTGAGATGGCTAGAGAAAATGCCCCTGGGTGCCAGCTTGCATTATAGCTTTTATCCCTCTAAAGGTAGGGGAGGATAAAGAATGCTTTTTCCCTTTTAAGTGGCCTTTTTTCCTGCCCTTAATAGAACTTATGTCTGCATGTCTCTGATACACTGATAATTGGTAGCAGTTCCAGATTTCTATTTTTAAAAGATTTGGAGGAAACAATCCCAATTGGGAGGTTAGGAGAATTTTTTTGTTAAGCTGCATTTAAATAGCAAATGCACTCTTTTTATTTAGATGGCATGCTTATTTTGGAGGGTGTTCTTGGATAGAAGAGGGTGCTAAGGACTTTCAAGCCACCTCACTGTTGAGAGTACATCTATTTTTAGTGTGGAAATATTTGAAGTAAAGAAATATGAAGGTTGATAAAGAGTTTGACTGGGTCTCTTTTGTTATTGTTATTTACATTTGTAAAATTATACTTTGCCTGGTGAGAACCAATAAACTTTGAAAAAGGAATGAAAAGTTTAAAAAGCCATAATCAGTGATACAAAAAAAACACTGAACTACATTTATTAGCTCTGAGGCCTAAAGAGATCAATACAGTCATAAGGAAACAGGTGCTTGATGAAAGAAAATATCAGACTTGAGGCAATCTTTATGGCACAATTATTATGTGTTTATTTCATTTAGGAAAATATACAATAGAATACGAGATATGACCTCAAGGAGGTTACAAGAGAATGCCTATCAGATTATCATTTTAGTATGTTTGTGAGACACTGTCTAGGGCTCATTGTTCCTGCTGGTTTTTCGCTAAGCCCAATTTTGTGAGGGAAATAGAATGAAGAAAAAATGGATGGGGAGCAAGGGTAATGTGGCTAAAAATATTAAGGCTTTAAAGTCATATATAAAGCAATGCATTCATAATTTTTTTAAAGCTGGAACCTATAGCTAACATCTGTTTAGGCCCTTTTATTTGGTGAGGAGGTCTATCCTGTGAATTGGCCCAGTTGACAACTGGAAGGACCAAGACCAGAGCCAGGTTCTCTGATTTCCAGTCTAGTGTCCTTTCACAATTAAGTGCCTTTGAAGGTGAGGTAAATGACTGAAGTCTCCTTATGCCTAAGTTGTGCTAATGAGCCCTAGTTTTCTTTTACAGGTATAGATGGTTTTTAGAATTGACTACCAACATTATACATTTTTTAGCATGAATTTCATCAATTCTAATCTTTCAATCACCACAATAGGATTTATTAGTCTAAAATCTAATAACATATTAGAAAGTGGTGTCTAAACTTAGGTTCACCCATTGCTTCACATTCATATCTTTAACCTATATGAATGATTTACAATTTTTGTATTTCCTTCTTGGCCTCCTCTCAATTTCAGTTTCATACTTCAACTGCTGCATCTCTACCTGTTTTTCCTCTCATGAGCTCACCCTCAGCAGGAAGCCAGCCTCCCCTCCACATATTCCTATTTCTGTCAATGACACCATCATTCTTCCAGTCACCCAGGTCTGAAATCTTGGCATCCTCTCTCTTTCTTCTTCTTTTTCAATCTAAAGGGTCAACAATTTCTCTGGCTTCTTTCTCAGACATGTGTCTCAATTCCATTCCTTCTTTTAAATTCTATTTTGTACATCCTAACTCAGGTCCTCGTCATCCCACTACCAGCTAATCACAATAACCTGGTTCCATCCCTAGCAACCCTTGCTACAGCTACTTTGGGCTGCTCTCTAAATTACTATTAAAACAAAAAACAACTTTGATCAAGTTCCAATTCAAAGCCCTGGACAATGTTGCCCATACTTTTGCAACTTACTCTCACTTTGTTCCACAGAATCATCCTCACTATCAACAATCTAGTTCTTTTTTCCTCCCAAAGCCCACTGGCACCTTTTGCTTGCATGCAATAGACTCTGTCTCCTCATCTGAAGTTGAATGCACCTGAACTTAAAGTCATCAATTAAAGCAGCAAACCACGAGCCCTCCTCAATATTCCGGTGGTATCTCCCGATGGTCCCACTGAGGCACCTGCAGCCCTCTCTTCCAGAAATCACTTTTCATGTTTATTCCCTTCTTTACTAATGAATTAGAGGGAATTTATTCCTGTAGGGCTTGAGGCAATCTCCAATCTCTTTGTACCCCCAGCGCCTATGTTAGGAGGACTGAGTTGACAGAATAGGTGGTGATAACTTGTCAAAAAGATGTTAAAGTTAGCAGAGGACTAGGAGCCACGCGCCTCCTGCCCCAGGACAGGGCAGGGGCGCCCCGCTCAGCCCCACTCCGCGGGCTCCGGACTCTGGTCCGACGGTCCCTGGAGGACGAAGGCCGGAGAGACCCGAGCTCCTTCCCCACGCCCCGCTAGCTGAGCGTCTGAGCTGCGGCCGGGCTGCGGAGGGCAGGGAGGCCCGCGGTTCAGCGCCCGGAGGTAGGTGGTGCTGTTGCGGCGACTGTCTTCCTCATTGGCGCCGCGCGGAGAGGCGGAATGTTCAACTCCTGACTCCGGCGGAAGCGTGGGAGCTTGCGCCGGCCGCCGTCCCCCGACCCCTGCCCCCGCCCTCGTCGCGCCGGGCCTCTGCGCCCCCCGGCAGCTGCTCGCACCCGGCCCGGGAGCCAGGTAGGGGCCAGGCTGCAGGCCGCGGAGGGAGGCCGGGGAGGAGACGCCAGGCCCGCCGCGCTCGCGAGTTGTCCCGGTGCTTTGGGGCAGAGGCCCTGCCGGGGAGCCCCGCCGGCCGGGAACTTCAAGGGCGCCCCGCCCGCGCGGAGGCCCGCCCGGGCGGCGGCGGCGGGAGCCTCTGTGCTCGGCGCTCGCTGTGTCGGCGCCTGACCTGCCGCGGCGCGGCCGAGCCCGGTCGGGGAAGTTGGGGCAGGTCCCACCGAGAAGTTGGCGCCGGAAGAGCGGGGCGCAGGCTGGAGCGGGTCGGGCTTCGCGGCCGTGGTGGGGGCGACCTGCCGAGCCCGCGACCCCCGGGGCAGCGCCAAGAGGTGGCCTTGCGAGAGTGGGGGGGACGGGGCACTCCCCAGACGAAACGCCAGCCTCCCCAACCAGAGCCGGGTGCGGGACTCTTCCCAGCCGAAGTCTGCGTGTGAGGGAGAGAGAACCAACTTCTGCTTTTTTGGGGTACTCTGACGAGAACGGTGTCCCCCACCCAGCGCGGGCGCTCCTTGCCCTTCCGGCCGCGTCCTTGGGCAGCCTGGGCGCCCTCCCCTCCGCCGCCTCCACCTTTCCTTCCGCGGCAGCCCAGGGTGTCCGCTGTGCAGATCCTCGGGTGCCCGGAATCTCGTGGGCTCTGAGTCCTGCACCAGGCCCGGAGGTGTGTGCCGAGGCCCCCCGCTACGCCTCGCTTGCACATGACAGTTTTCAGAAAAACTTTAATTAAAAACTGGGTAGATGACATCGAACTGCCTAAAAAAACAATGGGGGAATCATTGTTAGACTGCTGATAATGTATGTTTCTGATGCGCCTTGAGATCCCGCATAAGCACTGTTTATGGGGAACTTAATTACTATTTTTGTTGGTTAATAATGAAAGCACACCATTTGGTGGCCCATTCCAACGATTTTACAAAAGCAGACTAATAATGTGCATGAGAATTTTCTGACAGAATGAATTCGAGGGTATTCAAGATAGTTGTCGAAGTATAATCCCATTTTACCTCTAAAGCTTTGATAGGGACAGCCTTCTCACTTTCGGGACCTAAGGTGAAACCAACAGGCAGGATTCAGTGTATCCACACTGTTTAAAGACAAAAACAAACTAGAGACCCGTTAGTGCCTTCTTTATAGTAGGCCTGTCTCCCCAGTGAAGTTTCATGTCTTTTCTGATTTTCAAAAAATTGGATGGCTGCATTTTAATTATGGTTTTGGTCATTTGTAGAGCTTTTGTTTTAGATTCCTGCTACAATAGTGAGAGATTTGGGAGATTGTAAATGAATATGAATTTGATTTGTTTGGAAAGAGAGAATTAAGATAAAGAAACATGGTCTTTTGGAGCAGTGTGCACTGTTTATTTTAATCTTCATATTTTAATTTCTACTCTAACTTTTGGGGATTATTTTGGAAGTTTTTTTTTTAAACTGAAAATGTTTATATAAAAAAAACTTTAGTGGTAATAATTCCAGAGTAAATGACCATAACACAAAGGTAAGAAGAAAAAAAATTTTTTTTTCTTGCCTAGGAAAGCCAATAGATGATTGGTCTCTTCCTTATTCCTTTAGGGGCTACATTAGAAGACATTAAGGAGAGAGTAATATCCAAATATTAAGCATGCGGATTTGGATCTAAAAATGGATGGTCAAAGATCTTGGGAACTGAGGGACCTTCTTGCCAAATAAGGAAACTTGGCAAGTTGCACTGTGTATTTTAAGTTAGCACAGAGTGAGTGTTATTGGCAATACATTGGCTCAGTGCCTATCTGGAATAAGCAATGAAACTGACTTTGATAGGGCTTTGGTATAATAAACAGGAGTTACAAAGGGCGTGGAGTGAATAATCATCAGAGAAAACTCAGGAGAAATTATGAAGATGTATCATGAAAAGAGGTCAGACTTAAAGTGAAGCTATTAGTGTGGAGGAAAGCAAAAGGGACAGTGGATTTTAGAAACTGACAGATTTAGAGGAGAGGAGAGACTGTGTGTGTGTGTGTGTGTGTGTGTGTTGAACTAGAAAAAGGTGTTTGTGGTTCTTGAAATAAGGCAGCCTTATATCTGTATCCTGAGATGTTGGAAATAAAAATCAATTTGGATCATTTGTTATCCATTTTATTCTGCCCAGGACAGATTGACAGGGTGGGTGTCTTGTCTATCTAAATGTAATAGGAACAGTCAAGACACCTTTAGGTCTTACTGCAGGGAAGATTTAGGCTACTACTTTTGTGGCTATTAACCTTGCCCCGCCACACACAAATAAGCAGAGTTCCAGCTGTGATCAGAAAACTGAACCTGTTAAGGGAAGAGAGCCATAAATGCTAGCGCTTAGATTGGTTTGACTGATACATGGGTGCTTTTGTGTCAGACCCTCCTACAGACAGCTGAAGCAAGGATTATGCCCTAATAGCAGTTAAATAATCCCAACACAGTAGAAGACTGTGACAACAAAGCAGCCATAGTTGCTAAAAGGAAATTAAAGCCCAAATTGAACTTCAGGTGGATAGTAAGCAACCTGATAATTACTGTAATAAGAGAAGGATCTGTTTAAAGGAAAAAAGGAAAATTAGAAGGAGGTGACAGAATGATGTGGTGGAAAAAAGACATAGGTGGAAAAAAATGATATGAATTTGGAGGCAGACCTGCGTTGAATCCCAGTTGTGTCACTTGTAAATTAGGTAGTCAGCTTGGGCAACTTTTCTACCCTTGATCCTCAATTTCTTCACATGTAAATTGGGTACAGTAGTACCTCCTTCCTAAGGATAAATATATGGGACAGTACATAGAAATGCTTGAGCCAGTCTCTCAAATTTTGGCCACCATAACTGAGTGGTAGAGAGGGGTGTTTCTGTGTCTCAAGCTGTACCCAAAGAAAGCTGCTTGTCCCATCTCTCATAGCTAAGTCTTACCCTTAGTAGCTGGCCCTGCTCTCAAATCACACTTACATGTAATTGGGGGTGGACAGGCTTTCATGCTACTCTTCTGCTTTGAGTATAAGGATTTCTAAAGTGGCTCTGTGTACATACCTCTGTGCTTGTAAGCTTTGTAACGTTTTGGGGGAGGATTTGAAAATTAATGAATTTAATGTCCATATGAATAATTTGGTAGTTATATGAACAAGGGAAGTTTAAGACTTAGAGGCTACAACTGAAATCATTTGAAGTCATTCTTATAGCTGATTTTAAGCACAGCTTGTCTTCTGGGTCTAACACCATTCATTCTTTTTTTACTCATTTCTGGACTTCCATATAAAAAAAACCAAAAGGAGAAGGAAATAATTGTTATGCGTAGATCACAGAGTAAATATTTGCCTATTAAACTTTTCTACCAAAGTGCCCTGTTGTAGTGAAGAAGAAATGTATTCCTTCAGGAGACTGTACATATAGCCATAAGCACCTTCAATGTAAGTGTTTTCTTTAAAATCCTGTATTTAATCTTAAAAGTTCTTTCCTCTTTTATTGTACTTAATTGAGCAAACCAATACAAAAAAAGGACCTGACACAAAAGCACCCATGTGTCAGATAAGCTTATTCCGCCAAATGGTAAAGTAAAATTGACGTTGTAGGGCATGTGTTTATTCATATATCATCTGCACAGTGCTGTGTACTCCACATATGGGAATGTGTATATAAGGAACTTGGGATTGGTGCTAGTAAAGGGTACTTGCACCATTAAGCTTTGCAGCTCAGCCTGCTGCATGGGGTAATGTAATTCCATATGCTAAGAAAAGAATAGGGGTACATCATCATCTGAAGAGTTTTTATAGTTTGTGGTTATTCTCTGGCTTTCAAGATGAAGAGAGCTCTTTGCTTTGAGAATGTGGGAGAAGGGAGAGTTGTAGGATGGAAATCTGGAATGTATCTCTCATCCTCCCAGCCTGGGGAGGAGAGTTTCCATTTTTCCATCCTGATGTTAATCATTGCTCTTCATGTTTTCTGTCAGGTTCATGACTGCATTCTCAGAAAGGAGACTCTCAGTACTTCATAGTAGGCTGATTAGTCATCATACATATAGGACTGGAGTGTATCTTGAAGAAGCATCCATTCTGCTCACCCAATTGATACAGAAATCTCCACTCCATGCCCTCACCTCCCACTGAACACTCAGAGATGGATCACTCATGACTGAGAGGGCAGCATATTTTCTGTTTGGGCAATCTGAAGAACCAAGAATTCTTTCTGTAACTTGTATCCACAGGTAGTTTTGCTCTGGATCAGCAAAGCGTAATACAGGGTCTTAGTATTTTCTAGTTTTAACATTCCCATTTGTTAATGGTTCACTTTAACATAGGGATGACCAGGCTTTAACACACATATTTAGAGAACATTTGTTCTAGGTTATTAGTGTAAAATTGTACCTTATTTGTCAGCAGCCAGGAAGGTTAGATACTTTCTATTTGACAGAAAAGTCGTTCCAGGATAGAAACAAGTAATGAGCAGCATCAGGCCCCAAGGATGTGGGGGAAGCTGGTCCAGAAAGTAGGCCTCACCCTATATACCTGTGCCTGCTTCCTCCAGCCAACCCCAGTATGCCCTCTCCCTACTCCTGATTTGACTTAACCCTGGTCTCCTCTTCCTTATGTCATGGCAAGCCCCTGCAGTGGCCCATGACATGAATGTAGCTGTTCCCCTTTTGTAGTTGGCTTGGTTGTAGCAAGACACATTCCACACAGCACTTTCGTGGCATAAGCACCCCCACTGACCACTTACCTGGTCTTCCTTTATTTTATTTCCAATGACATTTCTGGCAAGGAAGCATGCAATGGAAGTTGACTCATTAATTGTTTTAACTAGAGAGTTTTATTATATGTATGGTAAAGCATAGATTGTTGGTGGTGGGGTGGTAAAACAATAGCTGTTTTGTCTTTTAGACTCTTATTTAAAGTTGGCTTCTGCCGGTTATCCATATCTGAAATTTATTCACTCAGCCCAACATATTCTATGCATGATATGTTGTTTTTTGAGAGCAGTCTTGAAGGAAATGTTGATGATAGACACAGTGTAGTTATTTATTGATCGAATGCCTAATCTCCTTTAGTTAGTCTTGTAGCTCTTATCTTTTTAAGTGATATTTTAAAAAATGACCTAGTAGAACAGCATTTTTGTTCAGTAATAGAGTCTTTGAATCCTTGACCCTGACCTGACATTATGGAGAACTACACCAAACCAGAGCTACCCCCCCTGCACCCCACCTCTTTTTTGGTATCAGGGTTTGAACCCAGGGGCACTTCACTACTGAGCCACATCCCGGACCTTTTCATGTTTTTATTTTGAGACAGGGTTTTGCTAAATTGCATGGAGCCTCCCCAAGTTGCTGAGGCTGGCTTTGAACTTGTGATCTTCCTCCTCAGCCTCCTAAGCTGCTGCAATTAGAGGTTTGCACCACCATGCCTGACTTCTCCATTTTTTGAATGTAAGACTTACCAAAACAACAACACCAATGATTCCAAGTAGTATCATTTTATTTATACATGAAGATAAGCAAATTTAATTTATTTACCATCTGTGTGAAGGAGGCTGAAATAACACCTGTATACATGAATATTAGGGCAGCAAGGTTGGCAAAAAAATTTGTTGAAGGCCAAAGGCTACTTTTGAAAAATCTTTTTAAAAAACCTTATCCAGGTCATGATAAAACAAATTAGTTTTTTTTTCCCTAATTGAATCAG